CCCCAGGGAATCTTCCCACCCCAGGGATTAAACCTGTGGCTCTATGTCTTCTGCATTGGCAGGCGGGTTCTTTACCACTCACGTCACCTGGGCAACCTTGTCTAGAACTTCCCTGGTGGCCCAGTGGCTGAGACTCTGAGCTCCCAATGCAGGGAGCTGGGGTTCAATCCCCGGTCAGAGAACAAGATCCCACATGTTGCAACGAAGACCCAGTGCAGCCAGATAAGTAAGTAAAAATAAATGCATTTAAAAAAAATTGCCTAAGTTTACTGACAATACAACAATGCACTGGCCTGACAATTTCCTTCCCCCCTTTATATGTATTAAATCTACCTTTTAATTTCATGAATGACATCCGTCAAGCTACCAGCCCAAGAAAAAGGGAGCGTGTTTATTTCACGAGTGGATGTTATGTCTCTGAAATGACCCTTCACAACCTCAGTCAAGCCCCTAGGTCGATATTTCCCAAACTTTATGAGGCGGAAGAAATCACCTAAGGAATCCTGTTCAATGTGTGTGGATTCCTGGGCCTCATGCAGCGAGATCCGGATCCCTTATACTTGGGGGAGGGTCGGGGAGGCCGAGAGGGGGCTGGTAAAACTGGGGAATGGGGTGCAGTGGAGCTCCCAGAGAGCCCGGACCCACTCGAGGCAAGGAATGTGCTACCTCACGTCACGGACTCCACCCAGGGCCTCCTTAGAGGTTCTGAGGCTGAGACAGCTCTTCTGGAATGTTCTCCTGGGAACCAACTGAGGGATCTCCCCAGAAAGGAGGGCAGACCAGGGGCTGAGGAGAAACAAACACCCCAAGATACAGCACTTTAACAGAGACTGACTCGGAAGCCTCCGACATTTTGCAAACTCTCTTTGGCAATTATCAAAAGATAATTCTTGTTAATCCTGTCAAGACAAGCTTTCAGATGATAGATTGATAAGGGCACCTCCTTTTAACACTTGAGACTGTCTTGAACTTACTGCATCAGTTATAGTGGCCCCTCTGGACCCGTTCTGGTTTCTTACTGCTCGTTTCTGATGCTAGAACAGCGACCCAGAGCTGAGCCCAGCTCCTCCATCAGAGACATCCAGGGGCTGATTTCAGGGGCTCTGGGGAAACAGCCTGTAAACCGTACACCCTGAGAGCTACTATAGCCTGTGAAAATTCTTCAGTTAACAGTTGCGATGGGAGTGAAAGAAAGGGAACGTATTAGTCCCTCAGTCGTGTCCAACTCTTTGCTTCCCCAGGATTGTAGCCCGCCAGGCTCCTCTGTCCATAGGATTCTCCAGGCAAGAATACTGGAGTGGGTTGCCATGCCCTCCTCCAGAGGATCTTCCTGACCCAGGGATCGAACCTGGGTCTCCTGCATTGCAGGCAGATTCTATACCACTGGATGGGGGTGGTATAGACTTTATGTTGGCTTTCTCCCCATGAATCCTGTCTTCTGTTTTCATTGTTTTAAAAATGCACATATCATGCAGAGACAGTCCTTGTTCAAAACAAACAAAACACAAGCTATAAGTTAAAACAGAAAGTCCCCACAACTCCTCCCCTAGTCTAGATCCACACACAGAGCCCCACGCTTCTAGGTTGGGCCATGTCATTCCAGACCGTTTTTGAAGAGTTAAAAAAATGTCCTTTAGGCCAGGGAAAGGAATAGATGTTCACTTGACTCCCCAGAGGGCTTCCCTTGTGGCTCAGCTGGTAAAGAATCCGCCTGCAATGTGGGAGACCTGGGTTCGAACCCTGGGTTGGGAAAATCCCCTGGAGAAGGGAAAGGTTACCCACTCCAGTATTCCGGCCTGGAGAACTCCATGGACTATATAGTTCATGGGGTTGAAAAGAGTCAGACACGACTGAGCGACTTTCACTTTCACTTTGCTCCCCAGGGCTTTGGCTGAACCAACCTGCCTTCTCTGTCTCTCTAAGACCTGAATGGTTTTGCAAGGTCGGGACAGTGTCACTCCGCTCCGTGGCATCTCTCCACCAGCCGTCAACCTGCTGCCTTCCTGCTGCACTCGATTCACTGAGGATCTACTCTCTTCCTCTCCACTTGACTCTCGTCCCCATACTGGGTCATTTCAACACACATCAGGGTCTCTTAGTTCCCTGACCTGTCAGTAACTTGTTCCCCGTCCCCAGCATCCATCTCACATCTCCCATCTCAGCTTTGTCTTGGCAGCACCAGTCACAGTACCCAACACCAACCACAGACACTCTGCTCTTGGACCAACACCTCCCTCCCGCTCTCCCCAGCTGCCTTTTGCTCAGTTACTTCTTTCTCTGGCTTGGACATACAAGCCCTTTTCCTTTTCCAGGTGTTTGCTCTTACTTTTCTTCAACCTAAGTGGGTCTTCTTACGCTCCTCACTTTGCTGGATTATTCTCTGGCTCAGTGTCTCCTAAAGATGTCCCCTCTCCCGGGAAGCCTTCCCTTCCCCATTCTCTCTTTAATAACACCCTCTTGTCTCTTTCACAGAGCTCATCACAGTCTGTAGTTCTCTTGCTGTGTATTGTTTTATGTAGGATGAGAACTCTTAGGGTTTTCTCTCTCAACAAGACAGTGAAGTTTTCTTAAATTAAAAAAATCCCAATGATGCAAATGAACTTCTTTATAAAACAGAAATAGACTCACAGACATAAAAAACCAGCTTAAGGTTATCAAAGGGGAGAGGTGGAGGATAAATTAGGAGTTTGGGATTAACATACACACATTGCTATATATAAAGTAGGTAAACAACAAGGACCTCCTGTCTAGCATAGGGAACTCTGCTCAATGTCTTATAATAAACTATAATGGAAGATACTGTAAAAATGAATATATGTGGCTATGGATATATGTATAAGGGCTTCCCTGGTGGCTAAGTTGGTAAAGAATCTGCCTGCAATTCAGGAGACCCAGGTTTGATCCCTGGGTCAGGAAGATCCCCTGGAGAAGGAAAAGGCTACCCACTCCAGTATTCTGGACTAGAGAATTCCATGGACTGTTTAGTCCATGGGATTGCAAGGAGTCAGACACGACTGAGCGACTTTCATTTCACTTCACTTCACCCACTCCAGGATTCTTGCCTGGAGAATCCCAGGAACTTAAGAGCCTGTGGGCTACAGTCCATGGGATTGCAAAGAGTAGGACATGACTGAGTGACTAATGCCTTCACTTTTTCATTTATGTATAAATGAATCATTTTGCTATACATCTGAAGCCAGCACAAAATTGTAAACCAGCTATATTTCAATTAAAAAAACTTTAAAAACCACTGAGAAAAAAAAAATCCAGCTTCAGGATTCAAATGAAATTACTTAGTGGGAATTCCTGTTGGTCCATTTCTGACACAGAGGCCCTACCCAAACCCTCCCCACACAGCGGTCCTCTCAGCCTCACCCTGGGCTTCCTCAGCGCTGAAAGTGCTGATGGGGCTACCTGGATTAAAGACCCCACCCCGCAAACGGACCCAGAATTTCTGAGGCCTGACCTCCCTGAGGAGTTTTGTAGAATGGCTGTCGGGAGCGGAGGAGGCACGCACGTTGGGGGGAGGTCTCGTGTTTCCACGTCCACAGAATCTGCAGAGTGCCTGGCACCGAACAGGCAACACAAACACCTCTCAAATTTGGCAGCTGGATTCATGCCCACATTTGCAGATTTGTGAGCACAATAAAAGGTATTCTAAGCCACTGTTTTATAGTTGTTTTTGTGCAGTAGTCTTACACAACGAGACCAGATATATTGAGATTCCATGGGCCTCACAGTCACTCGGGAGAAAGCAGGTCTCACAGGGGGAAGAATGTGGCGGTGGGGAGGGATTCCTGGGCCCAGGGGAGGGACAGGGAGCTGCCAGGGACGCAGGTATCAGTGGGCAGGGCGGCCTGGGTCTGCGGCGGGCGAGCAGGCGCCCGAGGAGCCGAGGGCAGGCTGACAAAGGGAGATGGGCTCACTGAGGCTCGCGGAGTCAGGGAGGCCGTGAGTCGCGCCCCCCGTGGAGAGGCTCTGCCTGGGCCATTCTGTCAGGATCATTTAGTGAGCCTTTTCTATGTGGCAGCCATTTGAGGGTCCTCCGCAAGCACGCTCTCTAACCCTTGCACTCTAAGAGTAGGTGTTGTTTTTCCTCTTTTACTTCAGTCGTGGGGAACCTGAGCCTAGGAGACTTGAAAGAGCCTGCCAGAGGTCACGGAAATCGGAAGTGGCAAAATCAGGGCTCAAACAGGACCCTGTTCGGTGACCAAACCACTGTTCCTGCTGATCCCGGTGACGGGTCACTCTGAGCCCTGAGCCTCAGTCCCCTCCTTTACAATGGGAGTGGGTGGTGCTGGTTCTCGGCCCGCGGAGAGGAGAAATAAAATAAGACTCATTAGACCAAAGCTCTGTGGTGTGACAGCCGCTATCCACACGCGGCTGGTCTGAACCGGGACACGCCCTCAGTGTAAAATCCATAGCAGATTTCAGAGTCTCCGTGGAAAAAAGATGACCATGACCGTTAAGCCCATGGAACCTGAATATATCTGGTCTCGTTGTGTATGACTGCATAAAAATGACCATAAAACTTAGTGAAAAAAAGATGGTAAATGGTCTCAATAACTTTTTATAGATTCCAAGTTGAAATTCTAATATTGGGCTAAGAATATGACATTAAGGTTGATTTTACCTGTTCCTTTTTAGTTTTTAAAATGTGTCTGCTAGACAATTTATCATAGACATGGTTTGCATTATGTTTCCTGTCGACAGCTCTGAGTTAATTCCTCGTGTGGGACCATTAACGGGTGGCCGAGAGCTCAGCTTGGCCCAGCCCGTATCACAACCTTGCGATTCTACCATTTCTCTTATCTCCTCGGATTGGATACTTTTCCTCTATAACCTCGCTGAATCCTCACAAGAGCCATTCTGTAATTTGATGATGGTTTAAAAAAAGAAAAATTCTTTCCCGGGTCTGTGGGTCTTCTTTCTCTTCGTGTACCTGCCCGCAGTCTGTGATGCGAGCAGGCTGTAAAAAGGGCCCGTGGGCTTTTCTAAAGGGCCACAAGCAGAGGGCGGCTGGAGGACCGCGTTGGGCTGGAGATGCTGCTTCCGGGAGTGGGAGAGCGCATGCGCGCTGGGAGGGGCGGGAAGGGGCCTGGCTGCCGGACCGTCTGCGGCGTGGTCTCTGCCGGGAGCGAGGCCTGGCCGCCGGCCGCAGGAGGTTAGCCCGAAAGGGTCGGTGGCACTGCTGGCCTCTGAGAGGAGGGCTGCCTACTGCCCACCTAGGGATTGCGTGCGTGTGTGCTCAGTCGTGTCTGACTCTCTGAAACCGCATGGACTGTAGCCCACGAGGCTCCTCCGTCCGTGGGATTCTCCAGGCAAGAACACTGGAGTGGGTTGCCGTTTCCCACTCCAGGAGATCTTCCCGCCCCAGGGATCGAACCCTAGTCTCTTGCGTCCCCTGCACTGGCAGGCGGGTTCTTTGTGGAGGGCTGCCTGCTGCTCCACGCGGACCTGGGTCGTTCCTGCAGATCCAGGCGAGCCCCTGGGGGCTCCGGTCAGGGTTGCCGCGACAGACTTCAAGGCAGGCCCCATGCGAAAGCAGATTTTAATGTAAAATAGAGATGTGTACCTAAAATGGATCTCCCCACAATCTGAGATAGTAATAACATTCGGAAAACCTGGACCCCCATCCCTTCCTTCTTCAAAGAGTCTTGCAGAGTTAGGTGCCTTCTGTTACGTGATAAGAGGGGCCACTCCTCTGGTATACGTCTAAGGTACTGACTCTAACTGTCACTCGGAGAACAAAGCAGACTTTTCTGGAATGAATCATGCCTTAGAGAAAAAAGTCACATGTGTTCCTTGGGAACTTTGTAAGCTCACCCCCAGTCCCAGAGGGACAGAGGATAATGATTTTGTGTTGTTGGCTGCTTACTCCCTAGGGGTTCTGAAACATGGATTTTCCTTTGAAAGGAAAGATGCCTCGTTTTTTTTTCCCCTAAAAGCCGTCACATGGCTCTCCATGGCATGGTTTGGCCCTGGCACCCACCACAAAGACATCTGTGTGTCCTTTGGGGCTGTGTGCCAGGCACACAGACTGCCCAGACTTTCTGCCCATCTTCCGTACGGAGGGCAAAGCCCCAGCTTCTGCCAGCCCAAGGCCACCGGAAGGCTGTCTGGGAACAGAGACAGCCTTGCTGCTGCCGCTGCAGCGGGCCCGGGCCTGGGTGTGACTTCAGGCCTCCACGGCCTCTGGCTGCCTGGCTCCCGGGGTCAGGTACCGCGAGGTTGGAAAGGCCTGGACAGGCAGCTTCGTTTGACAGACAAAGGGACCACGTGTGGCCTGCCAGGTGTGTGATCGGGGCTAACCAGGAATGTCTCCTTTGCTGGGAGGGCCTTGAAGGCGGTGGCTGCGTTTTTTTTCTTTCAAATGTTTATTTCTTTGTCTGTGCCAGGTCTTAGTTGCAGCATGTGGTCTCTCTACTTGCGGCATGTGGGATCCAGTTCCCTGACCAGGGGTCGAACCCGGGACCCCTGCACTGGGAGCGCAGAGGCTTAGACCATCCTAGGTCAGAAGTGGAGCTGGGGAGGCGAGTGGGAACAGTCCCTGTTTATATACTGGGAATCGAGGGTAGGGAAAGATGCCCTTGCTCCCTGACTGGGCCGCGGAGGACCTGCACGAGTTCTGGCGGGAGAAGGATGGAAGGGTGGCGAGATGAGCTTTCATTTCACATGGGTTTTGCACACACACATGTGTATTTCACATAGAAAGAGAACACAACATGCCTTAAAACTTTCACACCTGCAATCATTTCTATGGGATTATTTCTGGCCCTCCGGCCCCCGATCCCCGCACTGTGTGGCCTGCGAGATTTTAGTTCCCCAAGCAGGGATTCTGGGGTCCTAACCACTGGACCCCATGGAGTCCCTACAAGATGATTTCTGAATAGGAATCGCGAGTGATTTCTTTCTTTTACTGTGCTGTATTCTGCCTTTTCTCTGGTGAGTATATAGGACTTAAATAGTACAAAATAAGAGCTGTTTTTAAAACAACATCAAAGCTGACAGATTTAGAAATGTAACCAGACCTTTGCGAAGGCAGGTTGAGAGCAAATAAGCATTTTTTACATTTGAAAGGTGGTGACTTAAAATGCCCATTGACCCATCCCTTCCCCGGGCTGTTTACGCTTCTCTTCTGTCAGGTACCTGGCAGTTGTTGTGCACGGTTTTTCTAGAAAAAGTCATGGAAAACATGACTGACCAGTGCATTTATTCCAAACTGCTGTCCAATTGTTAGAAACAGCCTCCATTCTGTTCAGTGATTTAATTTATCTATATATGCATACACACATATATATAATACAGTAAAATAGGTAATTTTATAGTAAAATCAATCTGAAATTATGAAAATCAAGCAAATAAAAGAGTGGGAACTCTCAAATATCTGACCCATATATATAAAAATATTGTTCTTTAACTCTACAATGTGTTATCATTTTTCTAGCACTCAAAATGAACAAAGTGACACAGTGTGAGAAATACTTGCAAGTTGCACAAGAAACATGTTTTTGTCAGTATGCTCTTTTCCCCTCCTTTAGACAATTCACATGGAAGACAATAAAGATTAGTCACTTAAGGGAAAGTGAACAGAACAAAACAAGCCTGTTTACAGGCACACGGCAGCCCTTTAACCCACCTCTAGGTGGGACTCACTATACTCTCAGTTCCTTTTAAGTTTTATTCCAGCAGTTCAAAGAATCAGTCCACTAAAAATATTAAACTTAAAGAAAAAGTATTGATCATTTTAAAAGTACACAGTACTGAAACAGTTTTTACAACAAAACTCTGTGCATTAGCCTGTTTATGATTATTTCAGTTCTTTGCTCAATCTAGTGGAATATTCTAAACCAAACAGTCCTACTGTTTGCAAGAGGTTTAACAAGTGCTTGGTTTTCATGGTCACCATGACTTTATATCCGTCCTTGGTTTTCACACAGGTCTCTCTTGCTTTCAGCTTGTTCAGTCGTTCAGTCGTGTATGACTCTGCGACCCCATGGACTGCAGCACACCAGGCTTCCCTGTCCTTCACCATCTTCCGGAGCTTGCTCAAACTCATGTCCATTGAGTTGGTGATGCCATCCAACCATTCTCATCCTCTGTCGTCCCCTTCTCCTCCTGCCTTCAATCTTTCCCAGTATCAGGGTGTTTTATGCTTTCAGCTATAAAATTGATAAAAGAAGTAGTTAATATAATGGACAGAATCACTCCTCCAAAATTTGGAGACTTTGAGACTTGTCACCCCAATGAAATAATGAGCTCTTTGAAGGCACGAACTACCTTAAGTCATTATATTTATATACACGGCTTTATATTCTCCCTGGACTAAACAGGGGGCTTCCCAGGTGGCTCAGTGGTGAAGGGCCCGCCTACCAAAGCAGGAGCCGCAGGAGACACGAGTTTGATGCTTGGGTTGGGAAGATCCCCTGGAGGAGGGCATGGCAGCCCACTCCAGTGCTCTTGCCTGGAGAGTCCCCTGGACAGAGGAGCCTGGCGGCTACAGTCCACGGGGTCAGACATGACTGAGCAACTAAGCATGCACACACGCAGACTAAATAGAGACTGAATGAATGGATGGCAAAAATAGCACCTGGCACCAAAAAATGATTTCGTGAATTACTAGATTTTCTAGGCCTTAAAAACACCATACACTATTATTAAATGCAAAGAGAAAAATGGTAGCTTTAGACTGGAGAGAGCTGGCAGACAGTGCCTGAAACGTGATTAAAGTGGACACCAGGGACTTCCCAGGTAGCCCAGTGGCTGAGACTCTGCTCCCAACACAGGGGATCCGGGTTTGATCCCTGGTCAGGGAGCTAGCTCCCACACGCCTAAGTGAAGATCCAGAGCAAATAAATATGACAAAAAGTAGATGTTGTAAGGGGACAAATTGACACGGTGTCTTGAGAAGGAAAGCATCACCCCCAGGGTGTTCCTGCCAAAGGTACACAACCTCAATCAAGTCACAAGGCAATGTGAGACAGACTCACATCAAGAGAAAAGCCACAAAAAAAACAGCAGGTCTAGGCCCTTCTGAAATGATGATGTCGGCAAAGACCACACACAAAGGAAAAAAGGACCTAGAGACGGTTATCACCCTAAGTGAAGGAAGTCAGAGACAATCTAGTATCACTGACATGTGGAACCTAACATGGTACAAACGAACTTACTTACAAATCAGAAACAGACTCACAGACTGCAAAAACAAACTATGGTTACCAGGCGGGAGAGGTGGGGAGGGATAAATGAGAAGTTTAGGATGAACAGATAGACACTCCTGTATATAAAATAGGTAGGCAACAAGGACCTACTGTGCGGCACAGGGAACTGTATTCAGTACCTGGTATTAGGTTGGTGCCAATGTAACTGTGGCTTTGGACCGTGAATTCTAAATCATTGTAACTAGGCTCGAACACATCTTTATTAATCAAAATAGGAACCAGGACGATGGTGTGACCACTCACCTAGAGCCAGACATCCTGTAATGTGAAGTCAAGTGGGCCTTAGAAAGCATCACTACGAACAAAGCTAGTGGAGGTGATGGGATTCCAGCTGAGCTATTTCAAATCCTGAAAGATGATGCTGTGAAAGTGCTGCACTCAATATGCCAGCAAATTTGGAAAACTCTGCAGTGGCCGCAGGACTGGAAAAGGTCAGTTTTCATTCCAATCCCTAAGAAAGGCAATGCTAAGGAATGCTCAAACTACTGCACAATTGCACTCATCTCACACGCTAGTAAAGTAATGCTCAAAATTCTCCAAGCCAGGCTTCAGCAATACGTGAACTGTGAGCTTCCAGATGTTCAAGCTGGTTTTAGAAAAGGTAGAGGAACCAGAGATCAAATTGCCAACATCTGCAGGATCATAGAAAAAGCAAGAGAGTTCCAGAAAAACATCTATTTCTGCTTTCTTGACTATGCCAAAGCCTTTGACTGTGTGGATCACAATAAACTGTGGAAAATTCTGAAAGAGATGGGAATACCAGACCATCTGACCTGTCTCTTGAGAAACCTGTATGCAGGTCAGGAAGCAACGGTTAGAACTGGACATGGAACAACAGACTGGTTCCAAATAGGAAAAGGAGTACATCAAGGCTGTATATCGTCACTCTGCTTATTTAACTTATATGCAGAGTACATCATGAGAAATGCTGGACTGGAAGAAGCACAAGCTAGAATCACGACTGCTGGGAGAAATATCAATAACCTCAGATATGCAGATGACACTACCCTTATGGCAGAAAGTGAAGAGGACTGAAAAACCTCTTGATGAAAATGAAGGAGGAGAGTGAAAAAGTTGGCTTAAAGCTCAACATTCAGAAAACTGAGATCATGGCATCTGGTCCCATCACGTCATGGGAAAATAGATGGGGAAACAGTGGAAACAGTGTCAGACTTTATTTTTTGGGCTCCAAAATCACTGAAGATGGTGACTGCAGCCATGAAATTAAAAGACGCTTATTCCTTGGAAGGAAAGTTATGACCAACCTGGATAGCATATTTAAAAGCAGAGACATCACTTTGCCAACAAAGGTCCGTCTAGTCAAGGCTATGGTTTTTCCAGTAGTCATGTATGGATGTGAGAGTTGGTCGGTGAAGAAGGTTGAGCGCCGAAGAATTGATGCTTTTGAAGGTGGTGTTGGAGAAGACTCTTGAGAGTCCCTTGGACTGCAAGAAGATCCAACCAGTCCATCCTAAAGGAGATAAGTCCTGGGTGTTCACTGGAAGGACTGATGTTGAAGCTGAAACTCCAGTACTTTGGCCACCTGATGCGAAGAGTTGACTCATTGGAAAAGACTCTAATACTGGGAAGGATTTGGGGCAGGAGGAGAAGGGGTTGACAGAGGATGAAATGGCTGGATGGCATCACCGACTCGATGGACATGGGTTTGGGTAGACTCCGGGAGTTGGTGATGGACAGGGAGGCCTGGCGTGCTGCGATTCACGGGGTCGCAAAGAGTAGGACATGCTTGAGTGACTAAGCTGAACTGAACTGAACAATCAACACATTTTTGCCAACAAAAAATAACTTTGTTTATTCCCATAGGGTAAAAATCTGTGCTTTGGGATTCTGTGAACTCTTGGAATGCATTTTCTGCCTCCTGATAGTTGTGAAAGAGTTCCCTGCAAAAAGTTGTGGAGATGTTTGAAGAAGTGGTAGTTGGTTGGCAAGAGTTTAGGTGAATATGGTGGATGAGGCAAGATTGTGGGCCAATTTGTTCAACTTTTGAAGTGTTGGTTGTGCGACGTGCGATGAGTTTTGTCGTGGAGGGAATCGGGCCCTCTCTGAGGACCAATGCTGGCCGCAGGCATTGCAGTTTTTGGTGCATCTCACCGATTTGCTGAGCATACTTCTCAGATGTAATGGTTTCACCAGAATCCAGAAAGCTGTAGTGGGTCAGACCGGCAGGAGACCACCGAACAGTGACCAGGACCTTATTTTGGTGCAAGCTTGGCTTTGGAAGTGCTTTGCAGCTTCTTCTCAATCCAGTCACTGAGCTGGTCATCGCCAGTTGTTGTGTAAAATCCACTTTTCGTCACACATCACAATTCGATCGAAAAATGGTTTGTAGTTGTTTTGTAGAATAAGAGAAGGTGACACTTCAAAAGGACGGTGTTTTGACTTGTGATCAGCTGAGGAGGCACCCACTTACAGAGCCTTTTCACCTTTCCAATTTGCTTCAAGTGCTGAATGTAGAAAGGTCAACACTGAGTTCTTCGGCAATTTCTCCTGTAGTTGTAAGAATATCAGCTTCGATGATCCTCTCAACTGGTCACTGTCAGCTTCCCGTGGCGGTCACTGCCCTACTAGTCTTCAAGGCTCTCGTCTCCTTTGCAAAACTTCTTGAACCACAACTGCACTGTACATTTGTTAGCAGTTCCTGGGCCAAGTGTGTTGATGTTGCAAGTTGTCTCCACTGCTTTAAGACCCATTTTTGAACTTGAGTAAGAAAATCTCTCAATTTGCTTTTTGTCCAGCATCATTTCCCTAGTCTAAAATAAATATAAAATAAATAGTTAGTAATAAGTCATTAGCAAAAAAGCATGAATTGAGAAATGCACATTAAAATGATGTATAACATAACCACATTTGTTTCAGAATGTAATCCAATATCAAACAGCAAAGTTTAAGAATGCAAAACCCTAATTACTTTTGCACTAACCTGATAATAACCTATAATGGAAAAGAATCTGAGAAAGTATATATATATATATATATATATGTTATTACTGAATCTCTTTGCTACACACCTGAAACTAACACAAAATTGTAAATGTATACTTCAATACAAAGTAAATTTATACTTTAATAAAAAGAAGTAATTTTTTAAAAAGACTTGAAGGTTGAGAGAGTGTTCCAGATTAAAGGAGAGCAAAAAGACTCGATAACTCATGCATTATGTAATCCTGGATCCAGCACTGGGAGAAAAATTGCCGTAAATGACATCATTGGGAAATTGGCAAAATTTGATTGTGGACTGTAGCTTAGGTATTACTATGGCATAATATTAAATTTTCTGAATTTGATAATTTTACTGGAGTTATGTAAGCTGTCTTTGTTCTTAGGGGATACATGCTGAACTATTTAGTCGGCATAAACGGTTTAGAGAAAGAGAAAAACCGATTCCCATAAATTTTAGCAAAATTTTTAAAAAATCGAGCTGAAATTCCCAAAACATAAAGTTGCCCATGTACAAGTGTACAGTTCAAGGACATTTAATAGAGTCACAGGTCTGTGCACCCACCACCTCCCTCGTTGCAAGTCGCTTTCATCATCTCAAAAGAAAACCTCAAGGGCTTCTCTGTCATCCAGTGGTTGAGACTCCGAGACTCCACTGCCGGGGTCTTGGGTTTGGCCCCTGATCAGGGAACTAAGTTTCCACATGGCAGGTGGTGTGGGCAAAAATCAAAAAAAACAGCAACAACAACCAAAACACCCTGCTAGCCATGAAGCAGTCTGTGTCCCTTTTCATCTTCCCTGAGTCTCTGGTATATATTTTCTACATTTATGAATCTACCTATTCTGGAGTTCCTGCAAATGGAATAATACAATATGTGGATTTATGTGTCTAGTTGCTTTTTTTTTTTAACTTACTATAGTGTATTTGAGGTTCATTCCCACTGCAGCATTTATCAGAACGTCAGTCCTTGTCTTGGCTGACTAATATCCGTTGTACATAGAGACCACGTTTTGTTTATCCACTTGTCCATTAATGGGTGCTTGTGTTATTTTCCCCCTTTGGCTACTGTGAATAATGCTGCTACGTGTTCAAGTCCCTGTTTTCACTTACGGAATACACCAAGGAGTAGAACTGCCAGGTCCGATGGTAAACGGAGGCTTAACTTCTAAAAGGAGCTGCCAAAGCCTGTTTTCAAAGGGGCCACGTCATTTTACTATGTGTACTGCGCTTACAACTCTTCTCAGAGCTTGAGATTATTTCAAAGTAAAAAGTCAAAAAAAAAAAAAATTAGTGTGTGCACCCAGGTGGAAGGGAAAGGAAACCTCAGTTCAGGAAAGTGGGAAGGGCCGAGCAGACTGGCGTGGAGACTGGGAGGGTGAGAGTGTCAGGTGGGGCAGCTCCAGGGGAGATTCCGGAGTGGAAACTTCTGTCAGGGGTGACACAGTCTGAAAGTGCTACCCCAGCACTTCCAGGACCAGAAACCCAGCCCAGGGAAGGCAGAGGGTGCTCGGTGCGCCCCACTGTCCGGGGGGAGGTTCACTCCCACCCTGCGGGCGCACGCAGGCTGAGTGAGCTTGCAGTGATCCACTTTCATTCATGCGCATCCGTGGGCACTGCCGTTTCCCCTGCAGAAAGCTGCCGGGGTGTCTGGCTGCGGGGACCCCCGTGGGTAGAAAAAGGGTAAAGATCCCCCCATGACTGCTCCGATACTCAAAGCAGACAGTGTGGGTCCTGCAAGGAGCTTGTGAGAAATGCAGACTCTCAAGCACCCCTGAGTTGGAGGAACCAGAATCTGCATTTCAACAAGATCTGCAGGTATTTGGCAAGCTCACTGGAGATTAAGGGCCTTCCCTGGGCAGAGGGTAAAGAGCTGGTCTGCAGTGGAGGAAACCCGGGTTCGATCCCTGGGTCAGGGAGATGCCCTGGAGGAGGGCATGGCAACCCACTCCATATTCTCGCCTGGAGAATCCCATGGACAGAGGAGCCTGGTGGGCTGCAGTCCATGGGGTCGCAAAGAGTCAGACACGACTGAGCGACTAACACTTTCACTAAGAGCTTTAGAAGCACTACTTTTGCACCCACTATATCAAACGTGAACTTAGCAACTGAACAACAACAACAAACATGTAAGAGAGAATCAACAAGGCTCTCTTGTATAGCGCAGGGACCTTCACCCAATGCTCTGTAATGACCCATGTGGGAAAGATTCTGAGAAAGAATATGTATGTGCATCTGTATAACTGAATCACTTGGCTGTACTCTGAAGCTAACACACCACTGTGAGTCAACTATTTGTTTAGTCGCTAACTTGTGTCTGATTCTTTCGCCACCCCGTGGGCTGTAGCCCACCAGGCCCCGTGCCCATGGGATTTCCTTCTCCAGGGGTGAATCAACTATATGCCATTATAAAATTAAAAAGTAAAAAAAAAATAGTGCTGCCTTAGTGCCGAGATTCCTAACTTTTTTGATTTGAACAACCATCTGGGATCGCTTATGAAAGAATTCAGATTCCCAGGCTACCTGGGAGTAGAGGTTAATCCAGCGCAGCCAGGGCGAGGCCCTGGAATGGGCATTTGTACCAAGCCTCCCTGTGAGTCTTCGGCTCAGAGAACTCTGTTAAGCAATAGTTGGAACGCATAGTTTTAAAGGCAAAGGGGGAAACCCCAGAGAGAGTCTGTGAACGCCTCTCAGACCAGCCTGGGCCTTAAGGCTTTCTGCCTGCTCACACAAGCCTCGCTGGACCTCTGCTCCCTGCGGAACACAGGGTTCCGCTCTCATCCTAACGCCAAAGGAGGCGCTTCCTAATCCCATCGCTCAGGTGCAGGAGTGCACGGAGGCTCCGAGAGGGCGGGTGGTGCCCGAGGTCCCTCAGCCAGGAAGAAGTGGGACCCGATTCAGACCAACTTCTTTCCAGCTGCTGGGGCACCGGCGTGTGTACCCGACCTGATGAGTCAGCGCAAGCCTGCCGGGACCTCTGCCTCCTTCCCTCTCCTCCTCTGCCCCAGGGGGTGGGAGCAGAGAACACGCCCAGCCTTGGGGCTGGGGGGCTTCCTCTGGCTTCCAGCCCTGGTTCCCTCTCAGCTCCAAACCTCCATCTCCTTACCTATGAAAGGGGAATGGCATGAGGGCAGGGTTAAAGAAGAAGGCTTTCGGTGAGGGTTAAGGATAAAACACATTACGTTTCCTGGTACCTAGTACATGCTCAGTGAATGGGAGCCATTTCTGTTATTTTCTTGTAGCTGCAGCAGGACATAAAATTTAAGGATGAAAACTAAGGAGGTGTTCAGGGCATGGCTCCTCAAGGGGAAACTTTCCCTGAGTTCTGATACATCAGTTGTAGCCAGATGGTTTTGGTTCATAAAATGTATTAGTTTCTTGTGAGCTCTGGTACAGATCACCGCAAACGTGGTGACTTAAAACAACAGAGATGTGTTTCCGAAGGGGAAATGTGATGGGGTTGGGGAGGACCAATAAGGACTTTGGGATTAACACACACACACTACTATACATAAAGTAGGTGATCAGCAAGGACCTATAGACAGCACAGGGAACTCTCAGTATTCTCTAATGATCTGTATGGGAAAAGAACTGGAAAAAAAAAAAGGATTTTGTTGTTCAGTTGCTCAGTCATGTCCGACTCATTGTGACCCCGTGGATTGCAGCATGCCAGGCCTCCCTGTCCATCACCAGCTCCCGGAGCTTGCTAGCCTCTAGAACTGAGAGAACACATTTCTGTTTCTTTTCTTTTTTTATCATTGAGGTTTAGTTTTTAATTTAATTTTAATTTTATGTTGGAGTATAGTTGATTTACAATGTGTTAGTTTCAGGTGTACAGCTAAGTGATTTAGTTTTATATATATATATATATATATATATATATCTGATTCACTTATATCAACTCTAGTCCGACCTGAAATAAAAATTAAATTAAAAAATAAAACTCAATGATAAGAAAAGGAAACAAATGTATTCTCTCAGTTCGAGAGGCTAGAAGTCAGAAATGGGCGTGTGGGCAGCCCTGCCCACCTCCAAGGGCTCCAGGGGGGCATCTTTCCCACCTGCCCCCCAGCCTGGGGGGGGTGCTCCAGGTGGCCCTGTCTCCAGGGGGCAGAATTCCAGGCCTTGCCTTCCCCTGCGTGTCTCTTTGTATATCTTCTTTTCTGTCTCCAGGAAAGACAGTTGTCACTGGATTTAGGGCTCACCCAGATGATCCCAGATGTCATAGCAAGTTCCTTAATTATTAATCCATCACAAATAAGGTAGCGTTCACAGTTTCCAGGCGTTAAGAGGCGGCCCTGTCTTCCCCGGAGCCCAGGGCAGCCACTGCCCCAGGCGTGGTGTGCGCCTCCCCGTCTCCACCCCGGGAGAAGGGCGCTCCATGGTCGTGGATCAGCGGGCAGGACAGGGACCCGAGGACCACTTGCTCTGTCTTCTTCCTCCGGATGTTCCCGGTTCCAACCGTGCTCCCCTCCCCTCCCCCCCCCCCCAGCTTCATGACCCTCAGCTTTGCATCCCCTGGTTTACCCAGGGCCTTTTGGTTTCCCCATTCAGGTTCCCAGACAGGCACTGGCCAGGCCGGGACAGACTGACCTTGGCTCAGGTGCTTTTCTTTGGACCGGTCACCTGGGGGGTGGGCCGGGATGGCAGAGCCACGTGACTCTGAAAGGGTCCCCCGGGCCTGCTCCTCGAGTGGGTGGAGAGCATCTCCTTAGGAGGGTGTGGGTATCTGGGTGACAGCTCTTGCACCGGCCCTTGGAGGAGAACACAGTGGAACCCTGGGTTCCACACTGTACCTGGGGCTAAGCTCCATTCACTGAAGTGCCAAACTCCTTTTTACAGGGAGGCACGTTCTGGGGGAGACATCAGCCTGAGTCCTGGGGTCGTCTTATAAGGGAGGCTCTGGTAATGATGCAATCAGAACGGCACTCCCACTGATTCATTATCACTCTCATTTCTCATTGAAGTTTTGCAACAAAACTGCACAGGAGTCCCCAGACCTGCCCCCACCCCATGGAGCCATCAAGGACACCGAGGCCTAGAGCCGCTAGATGACTTGCCCAAGGTCACCTGGCTGCCAAGCACAGCGCCGGACAAGCCCGCCGCCTTCTCAGCATCCCATCCCCTTCTTCTCAGTAATGGCTGCTTTCGTTAGCGCCACACATCAGTCACTCCCTTTGGAAATCAGGTTGGCCGCCAATTTAATGCCAAGGGTGCCATGGCCTTCCCAGGTGGCACTAGCGGTAAAGAACCCGCCTGCCAATGCAGGAGATGCAGGAGACGTGGGTGCGATCACTGGGTCGGGAAGATCCCCTGGAGGAGGGCGTGGAAACCCACTCCAGTGCCCCAGACCAGAGAATCCCATGGACAGACGAGCCTGAGGGCCTATAGTCCGCCAGACTGCAGACTCGGACATGACTGAAGTGACGTAGCATGCACGCACAAGGGTGGAGTGTTAGAAAAGACGCCTGAATTCTGCTGCACTCCCATCTGGCACGATCATGGGCGTGTGGAGGGGAGCGGGGGTGGAGGATGTGCCCTCCTGGAAGTGGGGGCGCCGCCAGCTCCAGCACAAGCCTTGGGAACCTCAGCCTCTTTCCCTCCATCTTTTCTTTCTCTTCCGGTATGATCACTGAGGGCTGGATGCATGTAAATTATGTGAAGGAAATTAATCAAAGTTATTTATCATCCCCCAGCCAGGGATTAACGGTGGGGGACTGTAGCAGAGCTCAGAAAGGACCCCCAGGAGCTCTGAGATCCCTGTTTATGTTTGGAGACGAAACCACACAGCCTCGGACGCAGAAATGGGAAGGGGCACCTCGGCCAGGCAAGTGACAGGTTGACCGCCCGGGAAGGGGCTGGGGGAGCCCCCTGAGGTTTTATGGCGGAGTCTGCCTCTACTTCCTCCCAGGCGAGGTACACGGTGACCTTCAGGAAATACACTTGGGAAGACTTCCCTTTTCCCAATACCCCCCATGCACTCTTCATTTTCAGGAAAATAATTAATTTTGGAAATAACAAGGTCATAATTAAATGAGCTGTATTTCTAGTGGGCCGCCCTCACCGGACACAGAGGCAGCAGGGCTGTGTACCCTGGCGTCTCCATCACCTCTCTCTGGAGTCTGCACTTTTTTTTTTTTAATGCTTCAAATGCATCTTTGGCGAAGGATATGAACTCCACCCGTCCAACTCAGGACGTCATTAGGGCCTCAGCGGGCCTGCGAGGCTCTGTGGCTGCGGATGCTAAAAATAACCGGAGAGGTTAAAAAAAAAAATGTGGAAGCAGATTTAAGGGCTCTTCTGCAAAATGAAACCCAGAAGCTGAGCCCTGGGTGGTTCTATTTAAAGGCGATCACCATCTCACCGTTCCCGTGGAGCTACACGTGAAGCCTGTATTCCTGGCGATGAGCCGGGCCGGGCGGGGACCGCTCCTCCCCCGCGCTCGGCGGGGTCGCCGCCGAGAGGGGCAGGGGCCGACCTCGGCGCAGCCCTGTCCTTGCACAGGCGTCCCTTTGAATCGGGGAAAGTGAAAATAAAGGCCAATGTCACAATTTTATCTTCTGTGAGAAGCAAAATCAAGGAGGCTCTGAAAACTTAACAAGCGGTTAGAAGCCTTCCGTGTGGCCCTCGCCTTGGAGAGGAAAAGGGAGAGACAGACACCCAGAAAGAGACAACAGACGGAGACGGAGAGAAAGAGACGGAGAGAAAGAGGGAGACAGAGAGAGAGAGGGAGACAGAGAGAGAGAGAGACAGAGGAAGTCGGGCTGAGCTGTTCAAAGCAACAGCCAGCAGAAACTTCTCTCTCTCTCTTTCTTTCGCTCCCCTGCTCACCCCCACCCTTTTATTTTATTTTATTTTTTAACACATCTGGTCTCAATCTTTATATACCAGTGGACAAAAGCAATTAGACAGCTCTGCTTTCCACGTCAAATGAAAGTCATATATTTTTCACAGCTGTCTCATTTGGTTACCCAGCTCTGCAGAAAGAGCTTCAGTGGAATTTCAAATGCAGGGCTTTGCTTGACAGTCCTGTTAGTGACGTGAGAGGTCAGCCGCCTCTCCCAGAACCGGGAGCGGAAGGGCAGAGTGACAGGTGTGAGCTGACGCGAGCCCACCTGGCGGGCGGGTGCCTTCTGATCGCTGGCTCGGGCTTGACCGACCCGGTGGAGGAGGCGACAGGAGCCTCCCTGGAAGGTGAAACTTCGCCGGTCGCTCCAGGGGCCAGGACTCAGCCAGAGACAGAATGCAGGACAACCCAGCCTAAGCAGAAAAGATGGTTCCTAGACCTGGGACGTTTAATTAAGAGAGTGAATCCAGCCAGACACAATTCATTCTGAAGCTTCAAGCAATGCTGTTCTCTTTCTCTCTTCCCCTGACTCTGCCAAGAGGAACGACTCCAACGAAAGGGTTGCCTGGGATACTTTCTTTTTTAAAAATATTTTTTTAATTTAAAAATTTTATTTATTTATTTTTATAGCTTTATTTGTTTATTTATGGCCTGCGCTGGGTCTTCGCTGGTGCGAGGGATTTGCTCTAGTTGGGATGAGTGGGGGCCGGTCTCTGGATGGGGTATACAGGGTCCTCTTGGCGGCAGCTTCTCTTGTTGGGGAGCACGGGTGCCAGCGCACTTGGACCTCAGCAGCTGTGGTGTGTGGGCTCAGTACTTGGGGCTTCTGGGCTCCTGAGCACGGACCTCAGTAGGTGTGGTGTGTGGGCTCAGTACTTGGGGCTCTGGGCTCTGGAGCATGGACCTCAGCAGCTGTGGTGTGTGGGCTCAGTACTTGGGGCTTCTGGGCTCCTGAGCACGGACCTCAGTAGGTGTGGTGTGTGGGCTCAGTACTTGGGGCTCCTGAGCACGGACCTCAGTAGCTGTGGTGTGTGGGCTCAGTACTTGGGGCTTCCTGGCTTTGGAGCATGGACCTCAGCAGCTGTGGTGTGTAGGCTCAGTACTTGGGGCCCCGGGCTCTGGAGCATGGACCTCAGTAGGTGTGGTGTGTGGGCTCAGTACTTGGGGCTTCCCGGCTTTGGAGCATGGACCTCAGCAGCTGTGGTGTGTAGGCTCAGTACTTGGGGCCCCGGGCTCTGGAGCATGGACCTCAGTAGGTGTGGTGTGTGGGCTCAGTACTTGGGGCTCTGGGCTCTGGAGCATGGACCTCAGTAGCTGTGGTGTGTGGGCTCAGTACCTGGGGCTCCTGAGCACGGACCTCAGTAGGTGTGGTGTGTGGGCTCAGTACTTGGGGCTTCCCGGCTTTGGAGCATGGACCGTAGTAGCTGTGGTGTGTGGGCTCAGTACTTGGGGCTTCTGGGCTCTGGAGCACGGACCTTAGTAGCTGTGGTGTGTGGGCTCAGTACTTGGGGCTCCAGGCTCTGGAGCATGGACCTCAGCAGCTGTGGTGTGTGGGCTCAGTACTTGGGGCTTCTGGGCTCTGGAGCACGGACCTTAGTAGCTGTGGTGTGTGGGCTCAGTACTTGGGGCTCCAGGCTCTGGAGCATGGACCTCAGCAGCTGTGGTGTGTGGGCTCAGTACTTGGGGCTCCCGAGCACAGACTTCAGTAGCTGTGGTGCCCAGGCTTAGTTGCTCCTTGGTATGTGGGATTTCCTGGATCAGGGATCTAACCCATGTTCCCTGCATTGACAGGCAGATTCTTACCTCCTGAGCTGTTGGGAAAGCCCTACCAAGACTTCCAGCAATGATTCTGGAGTGCATTCTTGTTGAGTGAGGCGCCCAACCTTAAACTGATCACAGCTTTGAGTTGTTGGTCCATTCCTGGAGGTGAGAATGAAGTCTGCTCCACGAAACCAGAGGACTGAATTTAGGTCGGGGTTTCTGCAGAGAAAAAACCTTTCAGGAGAAGGGGGAATGGTTGCAGAGTGGTGTAGCTACCCCACCTGGGAGCCCTTGTGAACCACAGCTGGGCACCCCCTCCAGGCTAATGCAGCTTGGTGTGCCCCCCATTTAGGGGGCTGATGGCACCCAACTTCCTTTGGGCAGAAAGCCACTCCAGGCCCAGGACACAAGGCTGAGTGAGCGGCGATAAAGCTGGGTACCAGCCCACTTGCCTCCTCAGCAGGACACTCTTGCTCAGTGCAACACCTGAACAACTGTATTTGGCGGCCCTGTTGGGTAGGCAGATGTCCTGACAACCAGCCAAGCCATATTAGAAGAGATCCTTCACCCTGAGAGCTCTTGTCTGACAGGCTTAAGCTGTGGCTTCTGCACGAGGCCATGCGCAGTAATCATTTGCAGCTTTATGCTTGTTCAGTAATCATTTGCAGCTTTATGCTTGTTCAGCAATCATTTGCAGCTTTATGCTTGTTCAGCCTCGAGTGTGTGAGGCTAACCTGTGGCAGGGCGTGCTGCAGACGGGGCCAGGCCTGGTTTGCTTGCTGCCTCTGTCCTTAAGCATCTAGGCCTTCCTCTTCCCGTCCCGATGCTTTTCTGGATCTCAGCCTCCTCACGGGACGAGAAAATGAAAGTGAAAGTGTCAGTAGCTCAACTGTGTCTGACTCTGTGCAACCCCAGGGACTGTAGCCCACCAGGCTCCTCTGTCCATAAGATTTCCCAGGCCAAAATACTGGAGTGGGTAGCCTTTCCCTCCTCCAGGGGATCTTCCTGACCCGTGGATCAAACCCGGGTCTCCTGCATTGCAGGCGGGTTCTTTACTGTCTGAGGCACCAGGGTGGCCCCTGTGGGACAGGAGGACCCTCCCCGACACTTCCCCCTCCCACCCAAAGCCCCGATTGGGAAGACGTCTGGGGATTTGGGGGTCTCTGCTTTCCTCCCAGCCTTCCAGAGCCGGTATCAACAGAAGCAAGTCTTTCTTCTGCCCGCCGGCCCCCGTGCCTCAGACGTGTGAACCGCGTGGTTTTACTGCCTTAGTCAGATCCTGCGGCTCCAGGGCGTCCTCAGGTCGTCACTTCCCTCCGCCTCTGCACTGATGCCACACAACCCCACCTTTCTGCCTGTTAGGCAAATCAGCACCCACTCACCACCGGGGCCTGCAAAGCTGCGTCCGAAAGAGGGCAGATGCAAAGCAGAGCAGCAGGACGTTTGTCCGGTGGGGTCGGGCACTCGCTGGCTGGAGGGAGGATCATGAAACAGGGGTGTCTGTAGGGGAGGAAGGGACACGGCGCTGATACCCCACTTCCCCTGCTGGCCCCGGGGGGCCCCTGAGGGGGCAGATGCATTCATACAGATCTCAGGTGGGCATTTAACACGCCCATTTGCATGTGACGATAGCAAATTCTAGAGCCAGGACAGAGCTCCACGAGGATCTTGATGACTCTGTTATCTGACAGAAGCCAAACTTCCTTTTGGGTCCCTCTGCCTGGTCCCGCCCATCTGAGACCTGGGAAAGCCAGGGCACAGGGCCAAGATGAGACCCCGAGGAGCCGCTCTGGGCGGGACTGGGGACTGTGTGCCGTGTCCTTCGGGGTGAGCTGGCCTGCTTCTGCTCTACTACTCACAGCCAAACGGATCTTCCAAGCCCGATGGATTAGGGTCATGGGACTGGGTGGGGTTAAGCAATGCCTAGGGGTGCCACTGGGTGCCACTAGGGGAGTATGTTGGGGGCTTAAACAACCCGTCACACACACAAGGAAGCATGATATCTATCATTCGACGTCTTTGAGGACCAGATCATACACAGGGAAGTGTAATAACCATGATGACCGTGATGCCTATACTCAGGGAGCCTCATTCAGTTCTCACAGCCTCCCTCCTTCTTTTTGGCTGTGCTGTGAGGTTTGCAGGATCCTAGTTCCCTGACCAGGGGTTGAACCCAGGCCCTCGGAAGTGAGAGCACGGAGTCCTAACCACTGAACCCCCAGGACATTAAAAATTTTTTTAATTATTTATTTTATTGAAGTGTAGTTGACTTTCAACTGCTGTGTTAATTTCTACTGTTCAGCAAAGTGACTCAGTTACACACACAGATCTTCTTCTTCATATGATTTTCTGTTGCACTTTACTCCAGGAGTTTGAATACAGTTCCCAGTACTATCCAGTAGGACCTTGTTGTTTATTCACTCTTGACGTAACATTCGATAGTATGCATCTGCTAATTCCAGACTCCCAGCCCTTCCTCTTCCCACCACCACCCCTTGGCAACCACAGTCTAGAACCCTTTTATACAGAGGGTAAAGCCTTGCAGTTCAGAGCTTGAGCTACTGGACTCAGATCTTCACTTCTCCAGTGAGGAAACCTCAATAAATTACCCTCCTGGAGCCTCCATTTGCTTATCTATAACCTCCAAGAGGATAAGGCTTCTGACCTCACAGTTTCAGAGAAAGTTCATCGCAGTAATCCATGTGAGACTCTTGAAGCCTTCACCAGGTGACTCAGTGGGAAAAACCCACCTGCCAACGCGTTAGACACAGGTTCTACCCCTGGGTCAGGAAGACTCGCTTACAGAAGGAAATGGCAACCCTCTCCAGCATTCTTGCTTGGAGAATCCCATGGACAGAGGAGCCTGGCGGAATACAGTCCATGGGGTTGAAAAAAAGGGGTTGGACGCAATTTAGTGACTGAGCATGCACACACATGCATGAGAAGGTCTTAGTTCATGATCAGACATGGAATAAAGTTTCAATACAAGCTGGCGACGGCTGTTAGGATCTGTGAACTCATTTGACTGTAATAACCCCTTTGAAGTAATTTTCTTCTTTTGAAGGTATTTTCTTCCTCGGCTGAAGGAGGAAAGTGAGACCAGAAAGTGAAAACACAAGCCTCGGTGCTGGGGAGGTCATGGAGCGAGAAAGAGGGGGTTTGGGGCCGGGAGGGCTTCCCTGGTGGCTCATGTGGTAAAGAAACTGCCTGCAATGCAGGAGACCCGGTTTCATTCCTGGGTCGGGAAGATCCCCTGGAGGAGGACATGGCAACCCACTCTAGTATTCTTGCCTGGAGAAGTCCATGAACAGAGGAGACCGGTGGGCTACCGTCCGTGGCGTCATAAAGAGCTGGACACGACTGAGCAACTGTCAGTTCACTTGCCCGGGTGACACACGCCAGCAGCATCATGGGGCAGAGACTCGCGCCCTGGGTGAGTCTGAGCACCCTGCGGAGTGTGCAGGGCGGGCCGCGGCCCAGAGGACTGGGACAGGGCGTTAGGGGACCACTCAGGCAAGGGACCGAGACTTTACAGTGAAGAGAGAGCAAAAGACTTGATTGGCATTTTATCTTGCCAAAGAGAAGAGGCAGTTCCCTTGTGGTCCAGTGGTTAGCACTCCAAGCTTTCACTCATGGATCCCTCATCGGGAAACCAAGATCCTGTAAGCCAAGTGGTAGAACCAAAAAAAAAAAAACAAACAAACCAACCCACAACAGCAACAGCAACAAAACACAAAAGTATGAAAACGACTTTACCCTCTAACAAAATTGAGAGTATAGTCTCAGCCGTGTGCTCATTCTGAGAACAACAAAATAAATCTGAACCTTTTTCTCTGATAAAATTGTATAGTCTTCTTTACTTCATTTTTGACTAGCATATCACATTCATAAAGAGGAGTACTTCCTCCCCACCCCCCACAAAAATATCTGAAGGCCTGGTCAGTTTTAAGGCCTTTCCTGAATCCTTGCTATTCCGCTATCTTGTCTTATTTCTGGGTTTTCTCTTTGGTGATTGTTAACCGGCCTCAGTCACAGTGGTCGGTGGTTGTTCACAGTCCTGCTAAGTGACTTGCAGGGACTTCAGGAAACCCCGAGACTCTGCAAGCTTTGCAGTTTCACCTGATGAACTGATTTGCATTGAATTTGAATTGTAATTTTGGATGTTGCTACAAACCACACAAGTGTCGATGTGATGGGTGGGGGTGGCCGCTGGTGTGAAACAGGGAGAGACTGTGCTATGGTCCATTAGCACAGAGTTTCACCTTACGACAACTGTTGCTTCATAAGCAAGTCATAACTGTAGGCACTTGGGCAACAAATTCTCAAATAACAACTGTATCCCGTGTAGGCATGAGGCACATGGTTTTGATAAACACGGGGCTCCACGGCCAGAGATGTGGCTAAAAACTTCTTTATATAGGTGATTAGTGTGGGATGAGAGAGGGCAGAAAAGCCACAATAGTAACATTATACGTTACAGTGAATAAAATAGGAAGCTTACCAGTCCTTTCTGATATAAATAAATAAATGACTCAATTGAAAGTTTGATGAGAAATGAAGTATTTACATGGTTTCAACGGTGTCCACAGGATACTGATGAAAGAGGAGAGAATCACTCTTGAGGAGCCAGGTAAACACCATCAAAGAACCGGAAGACTGGCACTTGGCTTGTGTGAAATCGATAGCTAGTGGGAAGCTGCTGTACACGGCAGGGCACTGGGCTCAGTGACGACCTAGATGCAGGAGGCGGGAGGGAGGCCCAAGAGAGAGGGGGTAGATGTATACGTCCCGCTGATTGGCGGTGCCGTGCAGCAGAGGCCGACAGGACGCTGTGAAGCGGTGATGCTCCAGTGAAACAAGCGTGCAGACCAGAAGGACACCACCAGCACTGGGCAAACCGAGATCACAGCCCGCACGGTGGACGCGGAGAACGCAGCCTCGCTGCTGCAACATTCCCGCCAAAGAGGCACGCTTCCTTCCTAAATCTAACCCCGGGAAACCTCGAATCAAACCCAAACTGAGGGACATTCTATACAAGTCTGGACCGTCATCTTCAAAAGTGTCAAAGGCATAAAAAACAAGGGAAAAGATCCCAGGGACGGGGGAGCCTGGTGGGCTGCCGCCTGTGGGGTCGCACAGAGTCGGACACGACTGAAGTGACTTAGCAGCAGTAGGGAAAAGGATGTTTTCGGGCTAGTTGTTAAGACTTGAATGGGGCTTAAGAGTTACATGGCAGCAACGTATCAGGTTAATTTCCTAATTCTTCAAATGGTTGGACTCCATGAGGATGTCGTGTAGAAAAGTGTGCTGAAGTTGCAGGTTCTGCAGTGTGGTTGTTTAGTCACTAAGTTGTGTCTGACTCTTTGCGGCCCCATGGACTGTAGCCCGCCAGGGTCCTCTGTCCATGGGATTCTCCAGGCAAGAATACTGGAGTGGGCTGCCATTTCCCCCTCCAGGGGATCTTCCCAACCCAGGGATTGAACTGCCTCTTCTGCATTTGAAATCCTGGTATGACATTTTCACAGAGGTGCCAGGAAGCAATTAGAAATGATCTGGAAACAGGAAGAAAGATCCCAGGGAGCAACATGAGTTTGGGGTTTATCTGCTGGGAAGCCAAGAGAGCAACTGAGTTTAGTGAGGAGGGGGTGAGAGAGGGAGAACATGGAGGAGGGGGTGAGTATAGGGGGGAGAGGATGGGGGAGGGGAGGAGAGGATGGAGGAGGGGAGGGAGAGGAGAGGATGGGGGAGGGGAGGAGAGGATGGGGGAGGGGAGGGAGAGGATGGGGGAGGGGAGGGAGAGGAGAGGATGGGGGAGGGGAGGAGAGGATGGGGGAGGGGAGGGAGAGGATGGGGGAGGGGAGGGAGAGGAGAGGATGGGGGAGGGGAGGAGAGGATGGGGGAGGGGAGGGAGAGGATGGGGGAGGGGAGGGAGAGGAGAGGATGGGGGAGGGGAGGGAGAGGAGAGGATGGGGGAGGGGAGGAGAGGATGGAGGAGGGGAGGGAGAGGAGAGGATGGGGGAGGGGAGGGAGAGGAGAGGATGGGGGAGGGGAGGGAGAGGATGGGGGAGGGGAGGGAGAGGATGGGGGAGGGGAGGGAGAGGATGGGGGAGGGGAGGGAGAGGAGAGGATGGGGGAGGGGAGGGAGAGGATGGGGGAGGGGAGGAGAGGATGGGGGAGGGGAGGGAGAGGAGAGGATGGGGGAGGGGAGGAGAGGATGGGGAAGGGGAGGGAGAGGAGAGGATGGGGGAGGGGAGGAGAGGATGGGGGAGGGGAGGAGAGGATGGGGGAGGGCAGGGGACAGTTTACCAGGCCTATGACCATGGGACTTTATCCATCTGTGCCTCAGTTTCCCCATCAGTTAAATGGGGATCATACTAGCTGCTATTCCTAGGATCGCTATGGAAGCTAAGGCTGTTGAAGCTTTTTTCCCTCCCCCACCCCTTAAAGATGTTGACGCGTGATAGCTGCTTGGAACGATGGACAGCACTGTGTAAGTGTGT